CCCCAAAACCCCAAAACCCCAAAACCCCGATAGGCAAGTATAATGCGTAAATTAGAGTTTTATTTCTATTAATTTGTTCAAAATATTAAAATGTATTTGGCAAATAATAATTAATATCTTTGATAAAAACTATTTAGACAAATACTATTTGATAATAAAATATGGAAAGAGGAAGAGCAAGTTAATTTTATAGAGGAAAAAGAGGTGGCAGAGGAGCTACAGCAAAAGGTAAAGGAAGAGGTTAATATGAATATGAGGAAGTGAAGTAGGAATCTAACACTTAATTGAATAATGTAACTTATGATATGCCAAAAAGTGCTTAGTATAAATATGTTGCAAAAAATCAACATCAGAAGGACTCAAATATTCTTGAAGAAACAAAAATGTAATTAAGGTGAGTTTTATCTATGATTAATCTACTATAGAAATAATAATAATACGAATCTATCTCCATAAATTCATCAAGATGTTTCCAATAATCAAAACTCTAATTATTCCTTAAAAAGAGGTAGAGATAGAGCTGGTTATAGGGGAAATAATTATAGAGGTAGAGGAAATAATGATGGAAGAGGAGGAGCTAATTTTATAAATGGTAGAAGATCAGAAAGCAATTTTGACAATGATATCAGTTAAGCATAGGAAGGAAAAAATAGAGCAAGATTCTTTATGAATTAAGAATTAGAATAGATAAGGTAATTGACTGGATAATAAATTGCTTAAAAATTGTTAGATTATAAGGACCTCTCTGCTTCATTTGATGCAACAAAATATACTGTCAGAGGTTATTCTCATCTAATTAATATTTGGCACAAACTTTGCTATGATAAAAGTATTTAGTCAACCTAACTAAATCTTATATCAGCTGGATTTATGGAATCAAAATTTTTTGAAAGACTCTAAAATGATTATATTAACGATCTTAATAATAACATCAGAAATTTGAATGACTATAAGTTTAGACTTGATGATTTAAAGTTGCTTTTGGAAATTTTCATGATCTTGATAGAAAAGTTTCAATCTAAAATTCAAAAAATTCCTATTCCTGTATTTGCGTCATTTATTAGGGATGACGTCACGCTAGTTTAAGAGTCCTGTGACATACTTAATATACATGGTTCTTAGGTAAAGTTGCTTTAAGAGATGGCAACTAAACTATTAGAGAAGAGAATGATATACCTAAAAGCCTCTAAAGAAGAGGAGAAAAAATAAGAGGAGAAGAAAAAGCAAATGAAGGGTGGAAACTATAAAATTAAGCCTTAAGATAGCTTTTAAGATATTGATGTTGTTCCAACTTCTCATGAACTCATATCAGGTTAATAACCTTTTCTTAGACAAATGCCTGCGAAAGGAGACTTCGATGATACTCATGATTACTTAGATATCGTTTACAGGTTGCTTAGAGAGGATGCTATAAGACCTTTGAGAGAAGGGATCGATGTTATGAAAAGGTGAGTAAAATTTGTTGCATTTTATTAGAATTTGTAGTTTTAAACCTAAGTAATCCCCAGAGCTTAATAACTACTAAAAAATCAAACATTTGAATAGATAGTTAAGAGATGCTGGAGTAAGACTTTACGAAAGTGCTTATCTGCAATACTTATCTTTTACTAGGAATAGTCCTGATGTTGCAATTACTCTAAGAATTTATGAGAAAGGGAAATCGAACTGGAATGCAAGTAAAAGATTACTACCAGGCTCATTGATGATATTAAGCAAGGATAATTTCAAGACTCTTAACTTCTTCTTGGTATGTGACAGAGATGCTAAGTAGATGGCTATCACCTCCTAGAAGTATAATTATGTTGAAATAAAAGTTCAGCATATATCAAATGAAATTTCTTAAAAAAGAGTGATAGAACAGTTTGATTCAGATGAAAGTGATGATGATTAATATATGAGATAACTTTACAATGAAAAAGAATCTCCAGTTCTAGATTTTTATCTTTAGCACAAAGAAAACTAGCTTAAAATTATTGAATCAACTGCTTATTTTGAATCCTACAATCATGTACTAAAAAAATTGAAGTAAATTGATAAATGGGAAAACGTTCCCTTTGCAGATTATTTGACCGGTTAAATAAAGAAAGATATCAAGCCACCAATCATTTTTTAGCAACTCGGAAATTAAAATAAAAGGGTAAGGTTTCTTGAAGCAATTAATAAAAGTATACAAAAAGCAAACTTCGATAAAAACTAGGCTGCTGCTCTGAATGCTTGCATGTTTAAAGAGTTAGCTATTATTCAAGGTCCTCCTGGTACAGGTAAAACTTATGTAGGCGAGCATTTTGTCAGAATCTTAATGGAAACAAAATAATTTTGGAAAAAAGAGAAAGGTCCAATACTTTTAGTCTGCTATACAAATCATGCATTGGATCAATTTCTAAACTTAATTAAAAAATA